GCTTGGTGGAACCTGGAGAGAAGCCCTCCAGCAACACCAGACCTTTCAGAGACCTCTGAGGTTTCCATAGTGGGTCTTAAACTGGTGACCACTGCACTCAGCATTCTGATCCAGTCTTCCTTCCTAGCATGTGTATTTTATTAAGAAGCGGAGAGTTTTGTTTCAGTAATCCCAAGATACAGAGCACAGAACAAGTGTCTGACAACTTTAAAAGACTCTTCTATTACTGGAGTTATTCAGCCTCACCTAGTGACATGTGACGTTGAAGATTGCATGAGCCTGTGGTGAGGGTGTATTCTACTCATGGTAAAGCACTCTGCGGCATCCCTATCTTCTTCTCTAAGTATGGCCCTAGCTGCTGCCCTCATTAACAGTTTTGACAACCAAGAAGACAATACAATCCCAAGATGAGAATTAAGAACCAATGATTTAGAAGAGAGATTAAAAGATTCATTAACTAAATTAATTATTTAATATAAGTTGTCTTTCTATTTGTACAAATGAATTGACTAAGAATTGCATTTTTCCCAAATGGGAGTTTGTCAAGAAATAATGAGATTCTCTGAAGAAGGAAAAAATATCTAAGAGAAGAAAATCCTATTTTTTGGCATACTTAACTATAATTTCCAAGTAATGATGACTTTTTAAAACAGTGTTAATAATGGACCCTTACTTTAACTAAACATTTACATTCACAAATTGAAGTAATCACTAACATACAAATAGTATCTTCCTTCAGCTCTCACATGAGACAGCTTTATTTTCTGGAGTATCTACTCTCCCAAGCCCGAGTTAGCTGTCTCCAGTACATTCTTCCATAACCACGATATGGATCATTGGTTCATCTCTGCACTCATTTTATGTTGGGGCTCACAATCTCCAATCTCTGTGTGTTCAGTGATAAGACAGATGAGTAAATAAATGAATGTTAGATAACAAGGCAAGCAATGATGGAGACCAACACTGAGACTCAGTGCCTCCAAGATACTGAAGAGAGGTCAGAGATGGGAACACTGTGTGACAGGAGCACTCCCGGGTCTGCCCCAGCTCAGCCTTTGATGCGGTCCCCATTGCACTGTACCATGACAACCAACTGTGGCAAGTGCTGCATCCCTCCTCTGTGTGTTACGGTGAAAAGCTCACGACAAGGGCCTGACCGTGAAATGGGAGTCAGGGACTGGGGGTAGCTTGTTGTGTTCAGAAAAGCATCTGAAGTTAGCAGACCTAAGTTCAAATCCCTTCCCTGGCTCAATCTAAACTAAAGGTGATCTCTTTGTGATCTGAAACGCCCAGAGGAATGGCTGAGAAGAAGATCGGAAACCTGCAAGAAAATGACTTCAGGTGACACCTTCTGAAGTAGAAGGCAGAAGCAAGACTGGGGAGGGACGATCACAATGCAGAGCCGATCAGATCTGCACTAGCCTTGAGGGAATGCAGAGCAGACCTGCCCACTGCACCACTGCACAAGGAGGGCTGGCTCTTTAGCACCATAACACATCCCAGAAGATCAGAAAATGAAGGCAAGGACTGAGAGGAAGTGCTCTGATCAAAGGAAGTTGTGGTGCTTTCTGAATGAAGAAAGACAGGGTTGGTTTGTTTGTTTGTGTATTTGTTGGGTCTCTCTTTTCCTTGTGGTTCATGGACCACCAGGCTACAAGGAGAAAGGGAGCGGAGGTAGCATGCAGGTCTATGTAAGGCCTGTGAGTACAATGGAAATAGCCTGCAGGGAGTCTGCTTTAGTGTTATTCCAGGGTGAGGGGAGATGTTCTGGATGGGAACAGCAGCTGGGGCATCACCTAATTTGCATCTGGCAGCACAGTCTTATCGTACAGCTGGGAACACAAAACTTAACTACTTTATGGGTGCCAGGGGGAGAGCATCTGCCGGGGTCCGCATCAAAGGTCAGGCTTGAGATTGGTTAGGCATCTGGGCTTAGGCACAGCTTCTTGATAAGGTCAAGCCTCCAGACCAAGAGACACTATCGAGGTAGGGAGGGAGCCCTGATAGAAAGGGAGTCCTCTATTTTCCTACAAGCTCAGAGAGCTGTCCAGACATGGTGGACAACCTTAAGTATAGGGTACTCCAACATCTATTTATTTGTTTGTTTTTAGGTGAAACAGAAAGAGACCAGGTTTCCCAGTTACTTTTTGTTGTTAACACAGTTTAGGGTCATTTGGGAAGAGGGAACCTCCACTGAAGAATTGCTTCCACCAGAGTGGCCTGTGGTCATATCTGTGAGAAATTGTCTTGATTGATGTTTGATGTGAGAAGGCCTAGCCCACTGTGAGCAGCACCATCCCTAGGCAGTTGGGCTTGGGGTATATAAGAAAGGAAACCTAGCAAGCCAACAAGCAGCATTCCTCCATAGTTCCTGCTTCCAGGTTCCTGCCATGAGTTCCTGTGTAGGTTCCCTCAAAGATGGACTTTAGGAGGAGTGCAAACAGCTAGCCTGATAAAACCACAGCTGCCCTGTTCCAGGTAGTTTATACAGGCATGAGTGCCACTTACTTCCTGCTGAGCCAGCTTGGAGTCTGCTGGCTGCTCCTGGTGATTGGTGATGCAAGACCATCAGAATGCTGGGGGCCAATGAAAAAGAGACAACGCAGTTAAGAGAGTCTCTGGCTGCCAATGGGAAATCGGGAGTGGGTATATAGGTTTGCCCTATATCTACAATAAATGAGTCCACTGCTTGCTTCTCATCTGACTTCTGGTGTCTGTGTTGTTGATGCCACACCTTTTCACCCCCTCCCCAAGGGGTGTCTAGATAGTGCAATCTGCAACAATGGACTATGACCAGGAAAAGTAAAGTGAAACCCTCTCCTTCCAGTTACTTTGGTCAAGACAACAGAAAAGCAAACTAGAGAAACAGGCTTTTCACTCTCCATGGTCTTTAACTTTCTTGGTAGAGCAAGTAGGTAGAGGCAAAGATTTGCAGCATAATTTTGCTATTTGAAGATCTTTGCCTAAGTCTTAAACTTTGAGATAACTTTTTACTAAACTTTTATATGTATGTACATGACAATGTTAAAACATTAACTTAGTTTTTAGGTATGGAATTTTATTATATTATTTAATTTGAAATTATGGGATGTAGTCCATAAATGATCCATCTTATAAAGATTCCTCTTTTCTGCCATTCTATGTATCCATATGCCAAGTACTACAGACATTGAGACTATGTACTCATTTATTCATTCATGATTCATTTATTTATTGAAACAGAGATTGGCCTCAGCCTCCTAACTACTGACATTACAAGCACACACCACCATGCTTTGTTTGAGTTCTTACTTTAATAGAGGCCAGAGAACTTTGTGTTTCTACCAACATCTGGGGTTGGGGGGGAGGGTTGTGAATACATGACCTGTCACATCACCCTTGTGTGTTCCGAACCAAGTTAAGACAAATGCTGATCTGTTCTATATGTCTCCCATGATGCCACTGTATTAAGAAGAAGCAATTGTATAACTACCATGAAAGCCCAGCAAGTTGTGGTTTGTTTTATATTGGTTATATTTTTATCTTAGAAGAAATATTTCATCTTCATTCTTCAAAAAATTAAACCTTTATACTCTTCCTGTAAGTTTTTTACCTCTTTGGGGGTTAATCTTAGTTACTGGGAAGTCATATTTGTTGGCATGACCTACTTGCAAGACTGATATTATTGCTAAAGCCTTGCCCTAGGCAAGTGCTCTTTCCACCTTTCACAGTTATGTGGTAAGGGTTGATGCTGCTGCTCTGTCCTGCCGTTTGTTCCTACATCGAAGCCACCTGAGCCATTCTGCTTGCTAATACAAGCTTGGGCCAGAAGTCATACTCAGGCTTTCTTTGAGCATCTGAGCCTCACCCAAGCAAAGAATCAACAAAATCTTGTGCACAGCTTCCCCACCTGCTATTAGTGGGGAGAAAAAAACACTCAAGTTGTATCTCATTACAGGACAGCACGGAACTGATCACTTCCCTGTTGCACAGTGGAGCAGATGTCCAGCAAGTGGGGTATGGTGGCCTCACAGCCCTCCACATTGCTGCAATAGCCGGTCACCCAGAGGTGAGTCTTGCCTCCCTCATCTGAGAAGAAAAGAATATGGCCTGCCTGTCTTTTCTAATTGTTCTTGCTTGTTTGAAACACTGGCTTTTCACAGATCCTAGGAACTGTTTTATATTTTATTTAACTACTGGACATGCTCATTTACTCTGACAGTAAAATTTAGCTATATAAATGTGATTTTATACTGAGTTCAGCTCATTATATAACAATGTTCTGAACCATCAATTAATATTAAGATGTCTGGATATAAGAGGTGTTGTGCAGTGATTGAGAGCAAATGCTTTGGATTCAGGCAGCTCAGTCTCCATAGCTTTCTCTTCTAACTTTGAGGAAGTTACTGACTCTCATGACCTGCTTTATTTGGAAAACAGTAATAGAGGATTGGGATATAGCTCAGTGGTTGAATATTGCCTTACACATGCAATGTCCTGGGTTCAACTCCTGAAAAAAATGACTGTAGGCTCATTACAATGTTTAATTAAATTTTTCCACACAACACTCTGGAGATTGCTTCCTACAGAGCAAAGAGAGATGCAAGTCTCTTTTCTAGTCTATTCACTTCTACATCACTTGCAGAAACAGTGCCGGGCGGTGGTGGTGCACGCCTTTAATCCCAGCACTCGGGAGGCAGAGGCAGGTAGATCTTTGTGAGTTCGAGGCCAGCCTGGGCTACAGAGTGAGATCCA